CCCCCCCCCCCCCATCTTTCTGACAGCTTATTATGACTGAAGTGGAAATGTTACATAAAACAAGCTGTTTATGGAAATCTTATTTCTGTCACATGAGCTCTACCCTGATATGACAGCACTCTATCTGGCTGCAAGTATTAAATATATTAATTATATCTGTCATTATGCAATTCCTCTCTTATCACCACTGGTTTTTATAGTCCTGGTAAAATATACTCGGAGCAGTAAAATCATTGCACCTTAGCACACTTTAACGTTTATAACAATCTGACATAATAAGGATACTGTCATTGCAGAAACACCTTCCTACACCCATGTGGGTACTTGAAAATCTCTGCTTTCTCCATCCTCCTACATAAATATAGTAGCTTAGGAACTTTTATGCTGTGCCTTGATTTTTAATGATAAGGGATGTCAGGTACCATTTAAAACATAAGAGATGAAAAGGGGACAATTCAGCTTTAACTATAATGCAGCTTTCCTTCAGATGCAGTCGCCTGTTCTGCTTCTGTGAACTGGGAAAAGTCTGAGAAAATATGAAACAGCAAAAGTTTTAAACTAGAAAGCATTAAGATCCTACCCTCGGATCCCTTTCTTTCACTCTCGGATACCTAAAGAACACAAACAGCTTAAGGTGACAGACTTTGATGCCAGTCTAACTCCACTCACAGCAATTAAGTATGCAAGGTTCAGACCTAAACTCTGGCCTGTAATGGTGGGTCCAATCTTCTCAAGTGTAGATAAAGCCTATGTATAGCTTGTTCTCTTGCACTTTAGCATCCTGTCTCCACCCACGACAGTGGTTCAATGTCTGTTTTCTCAAAATACAAGAGACAGGTTTTGGAGCCCCAAAAATAAGTTCCACCAGGACTTTTATAATCTTATGCTCTTGCCTTCAACTTGTGCCATTAAAATAATGGAAAAGCTTAGGCTGCTCTTCTGGATTCTGATGCCCTAGTGTAGGTTTTCTGTACAGGTTAGGAATTCTAGATTTTTGCATACAAGGGAAAATTCCATGTGTACTTTAGAATAGTTTTGAATTTTAAAAAAAATAATAGAATGTGTAAAAAGAAAATTAGCTAAATTCTGCCCCAGGACGCTTATGTTTTTGAATAATGATCTAGATTTTGGCGACATACTTGTTGAAGGAGTGCTTTTGCCCTGTTGTTAAGGTAACTGTTCGTAGGTTGGTGGGTGTTCCGTATTTAGGAGACACAAGATGCTGGATTGAGTGTTTGTGTGTTACCATGTTGTGCGGCACATCTGGATTGTCAAACTGAAGTCAGAATGGCAAAGCATTCCCTGCATCCGAGCAGCAGAAATAGAGACTGGCACCAAGCAATCCAGTATGGCTCACGCAGCAGCTCTGGATCTCATATTTTGCTTTGTTGCTCGTTTGCTTTAGGACTGACACAGCTCTGGCTGTTGTCAGAGTGACAAGAATGGCTACAGTAGTCGCCTGTTTCAGCAACAGTGTTTTGGAAGACACCAGAGAGTTTTGCAATGGTGAGATGTGACAGGATCTTTTTATACTATTAATACAAGTGAAAGATGGGCTTCCTCCTGAATTTTGACAGCACCACCTGGGAGGAGGGGTCCTGTGCCCACCTCATGGAGGGGGCTCACCTGTTAGGGATGCGTGGAGTGGTGGCAGCCTGGCATTGTCCTGGCTCCCCACGTCCTGCCGCCAGCCCGCTCGGGTGCGGGACGGAGAAGGTGTGCGAGCCGGGGGGGGGGG